CATACCCGCAAAACTTACAGGAGATCTTCCTAGATTCCATGTTTAACTTTCCATCTGAAGGCCTTTCTGATTTTTTTTCTTTCGGCTTGACTTGATGAACGCTGTCAACGGGCTCGGAGAGCGATCGCGACTTCATTTGCATTGAAGTAACTTCTTCGCTGCGACACAGATCAATACATCGGTTTAAGGTGAGGTCTCTCATCCTGAGGAACTTTTTAGTGGTTTGCTCGTTCTTGATTCCAAGTACGATACGATCGCGTATGAGACTGTCACGTAAACAATCGCAGAAATTGCAGCCAAGGTCTTCAACTCAGCGACGAAATTGTCAACCGTTTCCGTAGGGAGCTTGTCCCTTTTGTTGAACAATATCTTTCGTAAATCTCGTTTACCTCGCCTATGCAATGCTTCTCCATCTCGCCCATGACCACACGCCAGTCGTTTGCGTTCTCCCCTTCGGAATAAGTGAAACTTTTGATCAACTTGCGACCATCGTCGCCGATCGCATGCTTAAACATAGCGAGCTGATATTCGGGGCTTTTCCAATCGAGAAATGACAAAATAATTACTGTACTTCTCTTTCCACAACTTCCAGTTCTCGGCGATTTCTCCTGTGGTCTTCAAATCCAAATACTGAGGCGGTAAAATCTGGTGAAACGTTGTCGATTGTGACGTTCGAGGCTGAGCAGTTGCACCGACGTTCGAACCCGAATTTTCTTCTTCCCCTGACATCGTAGACGGTTTTTACGTTGTCGACGATGCTCAGAGTTAACCACACGCTGCCACCATGTTTTAACAGATCTTTAACAGCACAACAAGACCATTTGAAGAAGAAACGCTTTAGAGATCCTAACCGTCGCGTTACATGATACAACTGACTAAGGACGCATAAATTACATACTTATTCACTATGGACAGATGATCAGCGCTAAAGACAGAAGATCAGTGCTTAGGACAGCTGATCAGTGCTAAGGACATAAAATCAGTGCCAAGGACAGAAGATCCTGAGGGCAGCTGATCAGTGCCAAGGACATACGATCAGTGCTGAGGACAGCTGAGTGGTGCTAAGGACAGAAGATCAGTGCTAAGGACAGCTGATCAGTGCTGTGGACAGACGATCAGTGCTAAGGAAGAGCTCCCTATCAAATACCCCTCCCGATGCGGTGTGCAGAGAGTTCTGCAGATGTAGCATGCTCTGCACCCTTACTTGCCTTGGGATACTATTGTGCTCCATTGCCAGCGGGTGTCTGTTGTAAGCCTCAGCCCGACGCGTAAGAAGACTGTTTATTCTGGGATTAAAAACGAAATGGAGACAAGAGATGAAGTTCTTCGGCTTGATCCAGAACGCCCAGTTTTTCCGCCAATGAAATAAAACAAGAAGTAGAACCTTGAGAGACAAAACCAAAACAGTCTTTCAATTCTTTGATTATGTACTGAACGATCAGCTATCAGACAGACAAGATAACTCTCCCCACCCCTATCAGATCTGACTCGCGATGGAAAATACGTATTCGTATACCTATATCCACCAATCCCTCTAGCTATAACTAAGCGCCGACCACATGGGAATGGTGTGTATCGTTGTGCCACTAATGCGTTTCTACCATACACGTTATAGCGCCTTCTCACATATACCTTACTGTTAGACCCAGCATAGTCAATCGAACCCAATCGAACTGTATCTCAATCGAACTCAACCAGCTCGATTGAGTTCGGCAATCGAACCAAATCGAAGTCACGCAAACTTGGACAATCGAACTAAATCGAACTTTTGACTCTGAAGTCTTGATTTTTTGTCAAAACTTGTGTTGAAAATCAATAACAAGCTTTCTGAGGCTCGACTTACTTCAGTATAACTTGTGTTTTTCGTGTTTTCGAGACCACGTAACATAATCTTTGTTCAAGCGATTTTACTCACCGAACACAATTCGGCCGAGTTCGGCTGCAGAGCCCAGCAACTAATTGATTGAGTTCGGCTCGGTTCGATTTGTTCGATTGCGTTCGATTGGTTGGAAAATCGAACTCACACAAAGTTCGGTGTTCGATTTGCTTCGATTGTCGAACTCAATCCACGGAATGAGTTCGATTGGGTTCGATTGAGTTCGATTTCCGAACGTTCGATTGACTATTGCTGCTTAGGCTCGATCAACCCTTCTCATTGCTAGTCGCACTGGTCGCAGTAATTCTTAAGACCAGATTCGAGCATTGCTCACATTAATATTTGTCGACACCCTATTTGTTGAAAATGCGATCGAATATTTCGAATATGCTGATCCGAACCGACATCGGAAATTTGGAAATAAGTCTGCTCCAAATTAATCCCGTTGTCACCCAACCCTCGAGGGACACCAGCGACACTCACAGAGAGGCAGTTTGCAATCCGACGAGTGTTGAAATTCTCCCCAGCTAGAAACGACAGTTCATCAAACGTGACGGCATATCGTGCATCTACCAATGTTAGAGCGACCAATGGGAGCGTTATAATGAGCTTGCACGGCTCTCTTCCACTTGGCTTACTGCAGATGAACGCAATGAAAAAAATACACTTTTGTGCTGCATCGATGAGACGGTTATATGATCCTGTCTCAATGACTTCAGAGAACTCTACGCAGTTCGACAAAAGATTTTCCAGCCGGCTAACACAATACTCTACAACGTCTTCTTGGTTGTCAGCCGTGTTTAGTCGTACACCAAACTAATAACAGCTCTTTCAAAAAAGCTATCCAAACTACTAGGTTGTGCTCTTCCATGGAAACGAGTAGGGGGGCGCTCCGTTAAGATGGCCCCCTCCTACTCAGACGCTCTTTGGGCTCGTCACGTATCTTCCTCCCCCACGATCGGCAAGTGCGAAAACAAACGGAAAGGAATGTGCCATTGGTTTCAGAACACCAGCCTCGTTCCCAGGGTCTCTCATCTTACCGCCCCCTGGAGCTCGCTCCAGGGGGCGGTAAGATGAGAGACC